GATTAACTGTCAGTGCCCAAAGTACCGGCTAAACCTGGACTCTTTCACAAGCCTCAAAACGTATGTCTGTCTTGTTATCTTCCTAATTGGCTGACAGATGGACCCACTTTTCAATGACTTTAAATTAGATTTATGCTTAATCAGGAAGTAGGGTAAAACAGGTCAGAGATTAGGGCCGTATGAAACTATCACAAGCCGGATGAAACCCTGATTGAAGGCTCCATTAAAGGAAGCTGTCACCATTGTGTGATGCACTTAAAAGGCTATGGCCCATAAAATAATGCCGAAACATGTATATTATATTTATTCTTTTCACGGTATAATTTTTGGCCTCAACAGTCTCGTAAAATAAGAAATGTATCATAATAACACAGTAATTAGTGCCTGGTAGGACTTTTCCATATTCCGCATGTATCACTACGACTAATCCCCTCTAAATGAGCCAGCCTACAAAAGGCCTAGGCAACCATGAGAGTTAACGAAGCAGTAGTGAAGACTTTCACTTCGTATGGAGGTACATGATGAGGAGATTCGTGGGCTATTCTCAACCGAAGATGTCGGCTGATTCGCGTTGTACTGCAGCCGTGTGGCCGTAATACGACGTTCAAGTTGATGCAGTTCACGGGACATCGTTCAAGGTTTCGGGCGAAGACAGGCTGAGAGACGAACATCGTCAGAGCTGGGATTAATTATTGTAAAAGCCTTAAGCTAGCATTAAGTCAAGAAGACTAACTGGCTTTATGTTATATGATATATATACTCATTAAGAGAAAAATTTAAAATCTAGATGGATATAGAAAGATTTGGTTGCTTCACGTATACTCGAGTGTGTCTGTGTGTGCATGTATGCTAACGTATGTACGCAATACTGGTCATAACTCAGGGTAATTATAAAAAAGCCTAACGTCATCCCCGGGTCATCAAGGCTCAATGACCCAAGGAAAAAAGGAAAAAAGAATGACCGAGATCGTGCTAGTTGGTATGTAATCCTGGCTGAATTGATGAGATGTAAGTCTGTATGCGGGAAAGTCAGGTTACGAAACCACCAATCCGAACCCGTTAGTCTGGGATACTAAGGTTTAATGACCCAAGTGGAAGCTTGGCTGGGATTGCGTAGTCCTACACGTCTGTTTTGGTTCATGAGTTTGACATGCCTGCTGAACGAGAGTGAAGTTGGTTAGAATCCTCACTCAGCTGACAAGTTGAGTCGTCTTCTTTTGGACTGCGACTTAACACCCTCTCTCTTCTCCAATATTTTAATCAAGGATAAGTAATTCTTGCTCAAGTTTCTATCACCATTCCTCACATTTAACGTATTCCCTAATCTATTAATTTCACTATCCTGTCTTATCTTGCGTTTCCTAGTAGACATACTATACTCAGCAAACCTCTGAGTACGAAACCATTATATCTCATGCACAGTCTCCGTCCTGTGCTCTGATCATTCGACCCAATCGCCGTTGCAAGCATTTTTGTGCTCTGTTAAACCTAAGTCGATCAGCCGACAAGTCTCTGACCAAATAGTTTCTGTCTGACAAATTATTCCTCATTAGAGAGACATTATTATCAATTTAGCCCAAAAGCTAATTATTCTCTACGACTAAAACTTTCAGTCTTCTTAACTCTTCAGTGAGATGATGTTCATCTGCAAACCTCATACTTCTAATGATCATAGGTTTTAAAATGTCAACCTTACTTTTGTAACTATGATTAGAAAGAAAATTAAGAACAAAACCAGCATATGCTGTGGTCAACCTTATGTTGTATAGACCTGTCAGCTGATCCATCATGGATAGCAGAGTACAAAAATGCTTGTAAAGGTAGCTGGGTCGAACGTTCAGAAGTGGCCGAACACGTACTAGAGACTGGACATGAGATATAATGGTCTCATACCCAAAGGTTTGCTGATTATTGTATGCTTGCTACGAAACGCAAGATAAGACAGGTTATTGAAATTAGAAGATTAGGGAATAAGTTGAACGTGAGGAAGGGTGATAGAAATTTGAGCAAGAATTACTTATCCTTGATTGAAATATTGGAGAAGAGAGAGGGTGTTAGGTCGCCGTCCAAACGAAGACGACTCAACTTGTCAGCTGAGTGAGGATTCTAACCAAATTCACTCTCGTTCAGCAGGCACGTCAAACTCATGAACCCAGACTAACGGGTTCGGATTGGTGGTTTCGTAACCTGAATTCCACGCATACAGACTTACACCCCATCAACCAGGATTACATACTAATGCAATCTCGGTATTCCTTTATTCCTTGGGTCACATGAAGCCGCCTAAGCGTGTGTGAATATGTGCCTTCAAGTGTAAATATGTCTACCCTGTCTTCGGGTGGGATCGACCTTCAAACACTTTCGCTTAAATGGAGGTTAGCTTGAATATGGTTGTTAAAATGATACCATTTTCTGAGGATCTCGGTTACATGACGAACGAAAGCCTTTCACCGGAATCAGAAGGGACACCCTGACGACAGCTTCAGCAAGAATGCTCCAGTAAAGCCAGTCAACATTTGACTAACAGGAGTTCCTCGTTGCCTTCTAATGTATCCTTAACTCAAAAAATAAATGAGCTCAACATTGTTTCTGACCTCATGCCAGAACACTATCTCAATCTGCATAGGCAGACTGATTTAATTTTAAGGTGGAATTAAGAATGACAGATTCCACATGTTTTATACATCTCATATAACTGATCTATTGTTAGTCTCAAAATCCAGCCTATAAACGAAAAATAAGGACTTTAGTCAAATGTTATAATAAGTATAACTTTGCTTCATCAACACTCCAGCCAAAGAATGTAATATGAGAAAATGCCTGATTTTCCTTGAAATTCACATATGCCCCGTGACCCAATGAACTCGTGGAAATGTGGTTGAGTGGTCAACGTGTCGAGATTACACACTGGACTGTCATTTTTTGAGTCCTGCTGGGGGTATGAAGAGAAACTGGGTTTCGAAGAATCTCTTAATTATTTGATACTGGCATACCTTTAATTTCATTTGAGAAAGCGGGTCGAAGGGATTCGTAGATTGGCCGCATCGGATACCGCAAGAGGGTTGGATTGGACTTTTGTCTGTTGAATTGTGCGAATCGTAAGACGGTGAGCAGAGGTTTTCTTCGTGGTGAGACCAGGCTACGAATTCCTCTGATTTGCCTTCTCAAACGAAATTAAAGGTACGCCAGTATCCTGCTGGGGGGTTGGATAAGACCTAAGCGAAGTCGAAACTATAATCCACCCTTTGTGAAAGCAGGGCTATGTGAAATTCAATGGAAAACTCTGCTCTACTCATATTATTGTGACGAAATTCAATTATCAGTCCTTTAGGTAAATAGGGTGAGTACATCTCATACTACTTGTTTTATGTTTGTCACTTTAGGTTATATTTATGGTAGATTGATAGACTCCGGGGAGTGCTCAAGTGGCCGGGGGATTACGCTTGTCTGCTTCGAGCAGGCGGTGGATGCAAATGACTACAGCACACCTCTAACTTTCCGTCCACAAGCAGCCGCGGTTGCCTATGGAAGCCGAATTTCCTCTGCGCCCGAGCACTTTGAGGTGTAACAACAGCCTGTAACTCAGGAA